ATTAAGAATCCCTTATGAGCCAGGCAGTATGGCCACGGAGTTTCACATCTAATGGAGTTTTACACACCTGTCGATGGAATCTCTTAAATGAAATGACCACAATGAGTTCTTGACTCCTTCTTTTTACACTTACCTTGGTGTCCATCCTCCTAGACTTCATCCATGAGCAGTATTCAAGGGAAGGAGAGAGTCAGATGACTACAGGAAAGGGAGAGAGAGCTGCCCATAATTTTGAGAGATAAGCAGATGAGGCAACAAGATGTAGGCAGAATTTCCAAAAAGAAGCTCTTCCTCCCTAATCTACATGTGAGGATTAAAAAACGGCACCACAAGACTCTGTATGAGCAAGGGCCCTCCTAAGGGACCTTGGAACCCACGTCCAGTGCTAAAGGGTACAGACAAGAGAAAGTCATTTGTGTCCACCCCACCCATGTTCCCCAGAATGCAAAGGAGGAAAGATGGTAAATATGGGCCTTGGAAAGAGAAAGAATTCTTTTTATTTTATTTTTTCTGTATTGATTGAAGAGAGAGCGAGAGAGCAATAGAAACATCAATGAGAAAGAACATCAATTGGCTGCCTCCTGCATGCCCCCACTGGGGATTTGGTCCACAACCTGAGCACGTGCCCTGACCAGGAATCAAACTGGCGACCTCTGGGTGCATGGGCCGATGCTCAACCACTGAGCCACACCGGCTGGGGAAGAGTTCTTTTTACAAAGAAATGTGTAGCCTTGGCAGGTTTGGCTCAGTAGTTGAGCATCAGCCCGTGGACCTGAGAGTCGAGGGTTTGGTTCCTGCTAGGGACATGTACCTCTGTGGCAGTTTGTCCCCAGCCCCGGTTGGGGTCATGTGGGTGGCAACCATTCCATGTGTCTCTCTCACATGGATGTTTCTCTCTCTCTTCCCTCCTCCCTCTCTCCCTTCCGCTCTATCTGAAGATAAATCCAGGAATGTCCTTGGATGAGGATAAAAAAATAAATAAATAAAAATAAAAAGAAGTGCACAGAGGGGAGGTTGTGAGGATGCACCATTAGTCATTGGCTTCGGTGACTGTAAAGGTTTATGGACTAATCATGTAATAAAAATGTGCTTGATGAGCTGAACCTTTCTCCCACCTGGAGAACATCACTGAGTCTTTGTCTACCTGTAGAGCAAGTAGACCGAGGACCTCCAATGCCTGGGCTCGACGTTTAAGTTGTGAGGATGACTGTGTATCTGAATGTGTTTTGAAAGAGAGACCGTGAAGGCCAAGAATTGGCCCTGACCCTTAAAAAGCAGTCACCAGCTTTATACCACTTAAGGGAGATCCACCTGGCGCTCTCCCAAGGAAGCCACGCAGGTGACATCTAAAAGATGGCGGTGCCACCCTGTGGCTTTGGGGAAAGAAACAGCTGCTTCAGTTCGTGGTAGGGCAGGAATGATTGCAGTGGTCCTTGACCCGTTCATCAGTTTCTTCCGCTGGGGGTAAAAAAAAAAAAAAAGCTTGTTTCTAAATCTCCAAGAAGAGCCCTGGCCGGTGTGGCTCAACGGTTAGAGTGTCGCTGGCAGACTGAAGGGTCGAGGGTTTGATTCCTGGTCAAGGGCACATACTTGGGTTGCAGGTTTGATCCCCACCCTGGTCAGGGTCGTGGGGGAGGCAACCGATTGATGTGTCTCTCTCACATCGATGTGTCTCTCTCTCTATCTCTCTCCCCTTCTTCTCCCTCTCCCTTTCCCTCCCTTCATCTCTTCCTCCCTTCCATTCTATCTACAAATCAATGGAAAAATATCCTCAAGTGAGGATTAATTAAAAAAAAAAAATCCAAGCAGAGGCATTGTGATACAGTGGGAGCTCTGGAGCCCAGCAGCCTGTGGCCAGGACAAACTGCCTGTCTCTCCCCTTCTCAGTTTCCCCATCTGTGTTTACAGTATCAACTGTACTGATGTCATAGGGTTGTGGTGAAGATTCAGTGAGAGTGACACACGGCACGTAGGGCAGTCCTGGCACAAGGTAAGCCTGCTATCTTCAGGGTGGAGAGCTAGGATCAGAGTAGTTCAGGGGTGTCCCCTGGATTGTTCAGAACCTGGTCTGAACCAGAGAAAGAGACCTGGCCAGACTGGAGAGTTGGGACTCGTCAGTGTATCAGTCAGTTGTTCAGAATCTGCAAGTGATGGAACTAGGGCTCATGGAAGAGCTGAAACCCAGGCAGCAGCTTTTGTGAGCATGTGCACATGTTTCTCGGGGGGAGTGGGGGGGTCCACAACTTTCTCCACTTTTCTCAGATCTGAGACCCCCAGAAAGACTAAGAATCACTATTTTACAGGAAATACAGTGATGCTCCCCCACTATGTTCCACATGGGTCTTCTCAGAAGATAAATAATTGAAACTCCAGGGACAGTAGTTTATGAATACACCATTTCACTGGAGAATAGTTTCTTAAAGGGCTCCATTTTATATGTCTAGCACTCGTTTTTATGAGGGTTTTGTTCTATAAACCAAATTTAAAACTTCTTAATAGATCAAATAAGAATGACTCTCCTTCAGTGTCAGTAATTTTTTTTTTTGCAATTTAATGTGCATTTCAGCATTTGTTAGGCATCTTCATTTTTAAATATACTATATTTTCTTTACGATTATTGTTCTTACAGCATGCCTGCATTTTTCTGACTACTTCCTGTAGTGGCTTAAAAAAGGGTATTTTTCATTGTTGCAAGTATTATTTCTTATCATTATTTGAACCTCATATATTGACATTTCCCTTTAACTTCTTCATTATTTAGAACCAGGCTTTTGTGATGTCAGAAATTTTACTCTTCAAGGCCAAGTTGGAAACGGTTGTTTTTCTCTCTGTCTTAGTTTTAAACTATCAGCCTCATGTTTGTTTTCTGTAATGTGATGTGCAAATGGCAAAAGTTGGCATCTTTTCTTCAGTACATATATTTTTCTCCCGGTCAGTGTTTAACTCTTTGCAAAACGTGTGTCAGTTATCTTTAATATTTAAAGTGTTATGTAAATTTTGACCTTCTGTATATTTTAAATGTATTTTCTAATTTTATCTTTACTCTCGATGTTCACTTGACTCAATGACAAACTTACCTTTACCACTGTTTTACATAATTAATTCTGTTTGCTAAAATAATGGGATTCACTAGATTAGAAGTAATTTATTCCTAGTTTAAAACTACTAATCCAGGTCAGAATGAATTGGGTTCCTCGGTTTGGTTGTGTTAACTTCAGCGGACCTGGTGTGAAAGCAAAACTTTCTCTCCAACTACGATCAGTGTCATCAATGTATATAAATTAAGAATTCCCCAAGAAATCCTACCCTATCTAAATCAGAATTTTTTAAGAACTATTAAGAGGCTCTACTAGATTATGTGATGTTTAGAATGAATTATTAAGAAATTCTATGGATGATGGTATTCAGCAATACATTTTTATTTTAATGCTTGAAAATGGAATTATTTTTATTAAAGTAGAATTTCAAAGTAGGGCCTAACCAACACTATTTCTTCCTCACCTGCGTCTCCCCTACAATATATTGTCAATTAGCTGTAAACATGGTGATTTTTCAATGCACCTCGGGAGCCGCTAATGGAATCCTGTGGCAAAGTGAAGAATCTTTTTACATACACAGTGCAGATGTGTCAGAACCATTTACGGCTTCGTGTACACACGACACAACCGCCAGACTTGAGAGGCTCAACTGGAAGTTCCAGCTTAGATCATTCTGCCGAGAGTACCTGCTGCCGCTTGCACATGTCAATAATGAAAAATAATCAACATCCGCATCTTTGAAAAGCAATTTTAGATCATTAAAGATGTATGAATTTTGACAAAGCAAGATTTGAGGCTTATTGAGAATATGCTGGATCTCTGAATTGAAGGGAGAGAGGAGTGTGTGCCTCAGTTCAAGAGGGAAGCTATAACCTAATTAGAACCTCACAGAAGATTAAATGGACAGGGGCAGACTCAGTCTTCAGCCTAACTATTCCTACAAAGCTCCTTTTTTTTTTTTTTTTTTTAAATGTTTTTTTCTTTATTGATTTGAGAGAGAGAGGAAGGAAGGAGAGAGAGATAGGAACATCGATGAGAGAGAACATCAACTGGCCGCCTCCTGCACGCCCCCCACTGGGGATCTGGCCCACAACCTGGGCGTGTGCCCTGACCAGGAATCGAACTGGCGACCTCTTGGTGTGTGGGTCGATGCTCAACCACTGAGCCACACCGGCCGGGCCCTACAAAGCTCTTGTGAGAAACAGAGCCTATTCTCGTATGAATCCAGGAAAGCAAGAGGATGCTGGAACAGCCCGCATGTCCCAGTGGACTGTGCATTACTGTCCACCTGCCGTGGAGTTAAGGGCTACTAAGCAATCATTTTTACACAGCTTACCTTTTCTATAACACACGAAATGTGCTCCGTTTGCTCAGGATTTTCCATTTCCTTTTCCTTTTTTGCTTATGTATTAACCATGCCCATCTGTAAATATGCAAGGAGCTCCAGAGAGGAGCCGCAGGAGCGGGAGCCCTGCGGGTTTGTGTCTCAGGCTGGAGAAAGCCCACATCAGAGCTGACGGAAGTGGTTTCTCCCGGGCTTCCGTGGCTTCTCTGCCCTCCCTCCGGCAGCCCTTGTGAAACTGCTCTTTTCAAAACACACTTTTAAAACACAGAATTATTTTCTGTGTAGATCTCATACTTGTAAGTTGCCAGAATTCTTTAGCGGTAAAGCCCGGCTGCACTTGTTTGGCTCCCGGTGGGCACGCTCCTAACCTGTGAAAGGTAGTGTTCGCTGACCTACCTGTGCTGCTTGGAAAGGCTGTTTCCTGGTGTCACGACTGCATTTGCTAAAACACGAATACACTGCATTTGTAGAAGCTCTGAAGTGCATCTCTGTCATGTGATGTGAGTTCTATGTCGGCCGTAGCTACTCGATTTGCATGTAAATTCTGAAAATTTCCTTGTCCCATGTGACACTTCTGAAATGTCTGTCTGTTCTTTTTTCCTTTTTAATTTCTCAAGCTCACTATTTGGATAAGATAGTGAAAGGTACTGTATATTTGCTCTTTGTTGACATTTCTGCATATATATCTACCTAACCATGTATCAGATTGCACTAGGTATGAAAATAGGTTGTTTTTTCATGCATAGTTTTCGTAAATTATAAGTCAGGCTTACGTTATGTGAAATGCCTTGGGTTTCAAGTATTGAGACTTAAATGTCTGTGTCTCATTTTTATAATTTTGGGTTATCACAGATTTCATTCCTATGTAAAAGGGGTTTTGCTGAAACACAAAAACTGAAGATAACAGTACATTTGCTGTTTTTTGTTTATTTATTTATTTTTTGTTTTTTGTTTTAAGATCTTCATTGTTGGCAATTTAGCTAATGAGCTTTAAATTCTAAATGAAAGCATCCCAGTTGCTCACTGTCTCATCCCAGAATAAGAAATTGCCAATCTAAAGAAGATTTTGCTTAACATATGTTGAGAGAAATCCCATTTATCCTCATATGAAAACTTTGGCTTTTTCTAAATGTTTCCAAATACATGTGATATCATAACCTGTTTTGTTATTTTCTAAAAAGCTACAAAATACTGTGCATTCTATAAAATAAACAGTAACACTGCTCAACAGAAAACAGCAGATCTTCATGTCTTCAGTTATCCTAGAAATAGGTGAAAAGTATTTTTTCAGAAGAGAAAATTCCCCTCCCCTTTTTCCTCAGATTACCTATTTTCTATTCCTTGTTTGTGTTTTTCATTAGAATATGAAAATATTCATGGCAATATCCAGGCTTTCGTGTAATCACTCCCGTGGACAGGGAGCTCACTGCCCCTCCCTCCCCCCGCCTCTTTGTCAGTGGGCAATGCAATCCTTCTTTTTCGTTAAAAAAAAACAAATTAAAAAAACATCCGTAAAGAAAATTCACTTATTATGTATTGAATAATCTAGAAATGCAGGCAATGATTGTCTGAGAGAAAAGAAGCAGCAAAATTGGATCTCCTCTTGACCTGATGGTATCCATAAGTATAATTGTATTGTACCCTGCCACAGAGACTGTCGAAATAGTCTTCTTTCCGTTAACTCTAATCTTAAGAGACAGTACTTTCAAGTTTCGTACTGGAGGAGGGGAAGCCAATATATGAACAACTCTTTTAATCCAGACTTAAAATAAACATCATTAAACAGAGTGTTCCCTTAAATTTTGTCCCCAAACTGACTATAGTATTCTAATTATAAGAAGCTGTATAACAAACCCCAGTTGCTATTGCAATTATTTTTACTAAGATATATTTTATACCAAATTATAAATAATTCTTTCCGAAGAGCTGATCTATAACCCGTTATTCTCACAGTGTTAGAGCACTTATATCCTGTTTCTGTCCGTGTCATATCAAACTCATAGACAAGAGCACCAGAGTCTACCAAGTGTCATCCTCATAAACAGACCATGTTGGCTGCATGCCAGATGTCATCATTAGGAAGTAGCAAAAACTGTTTTTTTTTTTAATGTCATGTTAGACTGAAACAATTATAGAGTTTGGATATATTAAATTATTTTAATTGTTTCCCAAATTTTCCCTCCTTGCCCATAAAAGCAGACAAGATAGGATATAAAGGTAACAGCATAAAAGCCTTAGGGAGATTGTCACAAAATATCACTCTCCGCTATCTGTCTTGAAGCACGTCACTACCGTGTTTTTGTTCAGTCTATCAATGTTTTATTGTGGTCCTTATGGTATTTCATTTTGTCCGTCCTGAGTAATCAACTATGCACAGCTATGACATTGAGCTGGAAATCCCGTTGGTCCTGTCCCATCCGTATGCAGCCTGAATCCTGATGTTTGTTAGAATAGATGCTGAAGCTGCTTCACTATTTCCCGGGCTTTGCTTCTTCTGTGACCAGGAATGTCCTCTTGGCATAAAGTATAGTCACTGATACTGGCCTATACTTTGTGCAATTATTTAATGCGCTGTAATTTCACATGAATATACGGCAACTCTGGGGCCAGATAAAATTAATGTTCTCCTTTTAACATCATTCATGTCCTCATACATGCTTTCATGCTTTTGAATTGAGAGGGAATTTTTTAAAGCAACAAGGTGCTTTCAGAAGGCATGTCCTGATGAGTGGCCAGCAATGTTTACAACAAATCAAAAATCTATACCAGGGATTCTGAAATGACCATGTTGAGATGCTTTTCCATGCCACGCAATCAACCAATCAACCTTGTTGCTTTGCTAAAGGGAAAAAAAAATTGAAATTAATTTTGTCTGGCCTGCAGCTATTTAGTGGGTCGTTGCATATATTTCTGTCCTGCCCAGGTAAGTGGTGTCTCAGGGGTCAGGCCAATCAAAGATGCCACTTGGATGAGAATTAGATTCCGCAGACAATGTTGCTCTTTCTATCCATGTGCAATTACAGTATTTGTGCTGTTGACAAAGGCCTGTTCCCACTCAGTGTCCCTTATCTGTTCGTTCTAGGTGCGAAAACTTTCAGTACTCAAATCCCTCGTGTTTTCCTTCTTTGTCTCTTTCGACAGAGGGCTGTCCCGGTCTGTGCAACAGCAATGGCAGGTGTACGCTGGACCAGAACGGCTGGCATTGTGTGTGCCAGCCAGGGTGGAGAGGAGCAGGGTGCGACGTGGCCATGGAGACCCTCTGCACAGACAGCAAGGACAACGAAGGAGGTAGGACGTGCGGAGCCTGCGGGCAGGCATGGCCGAGCACTGGCTGACAAGGTCCAGCGAGTGCATCGTGACCTCTTCCCCCCAAAAATCAGGTCCCCGTAGATTAGAGTGATGGAAAAAGGTATGCGTGCTGACGGAGGGATTGTGTTCCCTGTTGTCCCTGAGATTGTTACCATCCGGGGAAAAGGCAGGGTGGCCAAGCTGCGGTGTGTAATGCACCTTGTTCCCGTTCCTCTTCCTCCTCTCCCGGGGAAGTGGTCCTCGGCACAGCATGTGGGCCCCGGGAAGCGGAAGCTCTGGCGCAGTGTTTCAATAACTAAACAGTCCGAAAGGTGCAAAGCCTTTTCCGTGCTCTTCTGTCGAAGGCGCGGCTGACAGTGAAGCAGAAGACAGTCCCCGTGAAGCTGCACTTCCAGTGTCTTGCTGTCCTTAACCTGACGCCCCGTGAAAACGATTCTGATACTGCACCCGTGGGAGCCCTGGGAGGAGGACCATTCCCGGGGTGCCCCCTCTGCGCTGCTGTATTTTGATTCCAGAGACGAGAAGGAGAGGCGGCAGGAAGCAGAGTGACTAAACCCAGCCCTCAAGCCTTCCCATTGCCCGCAACACACACGCACCCACACACGTCGGCCGGGGCCCACAGTCCTTCTCAAACCAGACGGTCCTGTATCTCGACTTCCTGACACGAGGCCACAACCCCCCCCCCTTTCGTCTCCAGCAGACTTTCCCTGTTGTCCCAGTTTCTTTTCACCTGGACGTAAGAGCCTGCGCCACAAACCCTGAGCTGCAGCGTCCCCCATTCCTCTCCCTGACAGATCCAGGTGGTCCCAGGCCTCCCAGCACGTCCTGCCTGATGGCACCATGTGGCCCGACCCCTCTTCACTGTCCGTGGTAGGAAGACAGCATTAACCCTCCTGGAGCCACAGTCCAGGTGGCAGCTCCCTCATTACTGTCCCCAGAGCGCCTGCCCCACTGTTTCCTGTGCTTCCCTTCCTCCCTGAGCAGAAATTGCAGTTTGTCTTCTGAAAGGGGGTTGCATTGAGTAGGTCGCAGGCTCGCTCAGAGGGGAGCTGTCTGCGGGGACAAGTCTGCAGGGACCCTGAGTAATTTAGGGGCTAAGCGACGCTTCAGTATTGTTACCAGCTAAGGAGGTTTTTCCCTTTCCTCAAAATGTATCAACTGCAAATTGGCCTCTTTCCCCCTTTGTTTATTCTTGGGAGCATGGAGCTGTGCTGTCTCTGCGCTCCCCCTCCGAGGGGACATCCGAGCAGAAGGAGACCTCCTGGGGCTTCTCTGCTCATTTCATATCGTTTGTATTCCTGTCCCAAACCGAAGCTCGTGGAGCTTCTCAGAAGGAATCCAGGCCCCTTTGAGGTTGTGAACGAAGGCAGGGGCTGTGGGGACAGACACGATGGTCTCCACATCACACCCGTCAAGACGCCCCGTCTGGCAAGGAAGGACCTCGCTGTCACTCTGTGGGCACAGCAGAACAGAATGTCAAAACAAGGACAGTACCTGAAGTTCTGTGACACGTGGTAAACTGTGCCATGTATAGATCCACTGTCTACATTAAGTTTGGTGTCAAATGGTGAGTGAGCCAGAAAGTAGCAAAGCCATTTGATAGAACACGTTCAGTGACAAGCAGGAAGACAGGATGAAGAGGTTGATTTGGCCCTGGGCAGAAATTGAACACAACATATAAATAGCTACCAGCCTAGTCTGAGCAGCTTGGTAGAACATAACCATTGTAAAGGGGGGAGGGACAAAGAAAGTTGCTTACTATTTCCAGAACTGAATGAGATAAAACCTTTTTTAGGAAGAACAGCTACATATAGGGAAATAGTTCAGTGTTCTTTCTTAGACCAAGCATCTTCCTTCCCCTACAAAACTTACCTTCCTTTCCCAGATCCAGGTCCCCCCTGTCCACTGTCCAAGCCCGAAGCTCCCCACAATCTGATCTCACAAACGAGAGGCCCCGTTTGTCTGGCAGCGTCCTGCCTGCCCTTCATGTCTCTGAAATGCTGAGGAAAAGCAGCCTCAGAAGGCTTCTTCCCGGGGAATAGGAGGAACAATAAAGTATATTGGAGGAACTGTAGCCATTCTCCTAACGCCTGCACCGTCGGAAGGCGGACACCTCCTGTCCAATGGGACCGTGTTTTTTAAGGCTCAAATAAAGAGCTGTTGGGCACAGAGGTCACTCTAGCTTTTCAGAGCCAAGGGCAGGTGTGTGCCCACAGTAAAGGCCCTGACAGGTGCCCCCTGTGCTGGTCAAGTCCAGCTGCAGTGTCAGACGGGGGCTGACGGAGCCGGGGCTTTGGACACAGGCAGGCAGTGGGGCAGCAGATCTTCACATCACATGGTGGAGGATGGTAACAGCACTGGACCAGCTGGCTGGGGATAGCCTCTCCCAGCGGGCTGGGAGACACCTGGGGTGCAGCTACACCATGTGCGTCATCTCTGAGAAAGCTCTTCAGAGCAAACGATCACCGGTACGTGCCTGGACTTGGCTTGTGCCCATCTCCTCTCACACTCCCTCTGCACCTACTGAGTCCGCTCTCTAGGCTGAGCCGTTTCTGGTTCCCATCCCGGAACTCACTGCATCGGTGAAGCTGCCAGGGTGAGAGAGAAGATAGGGGACGAGCTAGGCACTGTCGCTGTAAAGTGCTGTGTGATGTGGCCTTGAAGACCGTGACCCTGCACCGCCACCCTCCTTCCTTCCTGGGGTCCCTCTCCCGGTCAGCCATCGGGATTGAGGCACATCCCCTGGCCTCGACAAGAAAATCCTTCCTGTTCTTGAAGGTTCTATTTGTCATTCTCAGCAGGAAAGATGCTTTAGTACAAGTAATGGTCCACTCAAACGGTCTTCAGCTTTAAAAAAAGAGAAAAATTATTAGCTCATATAACACAGTTTCCGAGACAGCTGCCTCTGGGTGCTCAAACCAGGAGAGCAGAAGTCTGGGTCGCTTCATCTGTCAGCTCTGCCGCACTCTCTGCTGGCACCACTGACGGTCCCTCCCTCACAGTGACCGGCACCGGCCGCAGGCTGACAGCCCACCAGCAGAACAACCCCAGTGCAAGGCGCGTGCCTTTCTCAGTGGTGGCGTGAGGCTGGGCCTGGGGCTGACGCATCGGTGTGAAGTAGGTCGCCCACCCGAAGGACCACTGAGCTTGTGTCACCGGAAGAAGTGGCTGTGCATGTATACTGGGTAGGCAGAAAAGCAGATTCTACTGTAGGCACACCCATAGCAGTTTGTTTTCGTGTAACCGGACAATGTACTGGAATAGAGTAGACTTCCATTACGTTCAGGAGGACTCTTCTTCTATCCTCTAACTCCTTTCTCCCCCAAAACCACAGCCTGCTCACTTGAGAACAGGAAGCCAGTACTGAACCCCGACATGCTCCCCCTGCCCAGACGGGCAAGGCAGCCTTCCTTCTCCCTTAAACTCTTACACGCAGTGCGGCTGTTACCTCGCCTACCCCTAAGCCGATGGGGGGTTCGTGACTGAAGTAGCTCCTATCTGGGGGTCCCACAATGCAAGCATCAAAGTTCAACAGCTTGCCAGAGACCATTCCATCTGTATAGAAACGACATGCTGATGAACGAGGTGACGTCTCCCAAATACATGGTCTGTGCAGCTGTTGCCATGCTCCCATCTTTCTTCTCACTAGAGATCTAGTCAGAGTTCTGTGGCATTTGCTCCCCTGCCTGGCCCTCCGTGGACAGCTCCTCTGTGGGTACCTGGGACACTCACTCAAGCCCCCTCCTGGGTACTAGATGGGTGAGGGCACAGGGCTGACTTACAGCCTCCTGGTGAGTGCTGTTTGAGAGGGTGGGGTCCTGCAGGAGCGGAGCCTCTCACCTGTGAGGAGACAGCCATGGCATGTCCTCCAGAGATGTGTCAGGAAGATGTACGGACAACAGGCTTTTCGGAAAGTATGTGGGGGCGGATGGTAGCACAGAAGAAAGCACAGTTGAATTAAGGTTGTTCAGAAATTAGAAAGATAGAAACGGGGGGGGGGAGGGGATGAACACAAATGTAAGGTTCAGACTGCAAGAAAAACTGGGGTGTGCCTAGGCGTAAAAGGAGGAGCCCAGCCATGAATGAAATGGTAAGCATCGGAATGAGGACGGCGAGGGGGAGAGTTGGTCTAAGTTAGGAGATTACCGAGTGAAAATAGGGAAATATTTGGAAATAGATATTTTTTTTTAAGTTGTAGCCAGAGGATGAGACTATTGTGTTCTCCAAAAACATATTTAAAAATAAAAATTAAATGAATAAAATGAGGAACAGAACTGGGAGGAGAGAGGGGAAAAGGGTTGAAAGAAAGGAAGAGAGAGAAAGAAAATTACAAGGAATTGTAGGCTCTTCCTAAGAGAATCCAGCTGTAGACACACAGGGGCACTCAGAGTCTCAGAGCAGTAAAATACACTTTCCTGGCAGAGATGACGGGGCGGGGGCGGTTACTGGGTCACCACGGGTTTGAAAGACTCTCCTGGATCCCCCTTCAGGGGAGAGAGTCAGGTTAGTCTGAGCCCTGACTGTCCACAGAATCTGAAGCATGGTCAACCCCATTCCAGGAGAGAGAAGTCCACGCTGTGCTGTCAGAAGCAAAGGACCTCGTTAGCTTCCTGATCTTGTTGACAAGAAACCTGGGGTGTTAGCACTTTTTAAACAAGCTTTAGGGGGGGAGGGAAGTCAGAACCACACCGGCTGAAACTAGCCATCTCCCCTCTCTGTTACACCCGCTGCCATCGGCGGCCGCCTCAAGCCTCAAAGGGAGCCGCGGGCCTTGCAGAGTACCTCTTTGGAAGGGGGTTCCCCGGTCGCACCCGTCTCCACGGGGGGAGCTCTGCATTCCTGGTGAGGTGGTCATCAGTAGTCACTGTGTGCAAATTCGACATTCTCGTTGTCAGAGAGTCGGCCACTGTGTGTGTATTCCCGCTCCCCCTTCAGTGAATTTCTATGCACGTCGAGGTTTTTAAACTTAAATGGGACAG